TATATAAAGACCCAGAATGAAATGTTATCATTCCCTCTACAACCAAGGACCATTTATGTGCCACTGCATCCCTGTCTTATTACAGAGATGGGTGCCAGGACAGGAAAAAGATATTTCTGATAAAACATTTACCAAGCGTCTCTGTTATTCTTTCCAGCTGCTTACGTAACCAAATAAATCAGGAGCATTTTAAGTAAGAAAATCCAGAAGGTTCTAACCAACTAAAATCCATGGAGGGGAACACAACAGTTTACCAGCCATTTGGGTTTTTCATTATGGGCTTTCAGGGCCTGAAGGACACTAACTATTATTTCATGTTCTTGGGTATCCTTTACTTCGGAACGCTTCTAGGGAACTTTTTCCTGATGATGGTGATATGGCATTCTGAGGCTCTTCACACGCCAAAGTACATGGTCGTGTTCAGCCTATCCGTCGTTGATGTGAGTCACAGTACTGCCCTTGTGCCAAAATGCATCGATCAGTTCCTCTTCAACTCACAGTTTGTGCCGTACAACCTGTGCTTGACCCAGATGTTCTTCGTCCACTCCTTCTACGCCATAGAATCGTATTCTTTGGTTATCCTGGCTTTTGAGAGGCTGGTCTCCATCTGTTTTCCCCTGCGGAGCAGCACCATCATCACCAGCACCCGAATGGTGGGCATCATCGCTTTCTGCTGGGTCCTGGCCTTTACTATTCTGGCTACAATGGTAGCTCTGATCACTCGCCTGTACTTCTGTAAGCCAATTCCCGTCGTGGTAAGCTACTTTTGCGATCATGGCCCAGTGTTTAAAATGGCCTGCAGTGACAACACTGTGAACTGGAAGGTTACTAGACTGTCCCTGATTGTTGTCATTTTTGTGCCCCTGGCATTCATCCTATCCTCGTATGTGTGCATTGTCATCGCCATCTCCCGAATCAATTCTGCCGAAGGGCGATGGAAGGCAGTGAGAACCTGCACCGCACACCTGATTCTGGTAGCAATGTTTTTCATGCCCATCCTGGTGATTTACACCATTGCATGGATTAACATCACAATTGAAGTTAACACCCGAATTCTTAACACATCACTGTCAATGGTCTTACCTGCCCTCCTGAACCCTATCATTTACTCGCTGAAGACAGAGGAGGTGATGGAGCAAATTAAGAGGCTTCTACGAAAGCATGTGATAAAACCAAAATAGTAATTTTGTACATCCTCATCTATGATCTCGAATTTTCAAAAAAATCATATCTCCAATATTTGCGATTAATATATAACAACAGAGATAAATCTATCACCAATACTTAACTTGTAAATAAATAATTGCTCACCTAACCATCACTAATTTAGTATCTAGGAAATTGATAAAATTAGGAAAGATATTAATCAGCAGGTTATGACAACATCGGTAAACTATAGCCTACAGATGTTTAGTATATCTGTTAAAAGAGGTCCACTTTAATCAAACTGCATGACGTCAGTTGCTTCACTAAATTTCTGCGGCAAATTTTCTTTTAATTTTTCTCTGTAATTACCTTATGAATAAAGCAAGATGTTATTTTGCTTTGCAATACAGGTATACCTCGAGTTTTGGCGTACACGAGGAACATACAGTAACCTCTTTACATTCGCAAGGGGTAGGAGCCCAAGATCCCCGCGAATGTGAAAATTCGCGAATAATACGTGGTAACTCCTAACCTCAAACCATAACAGTCTGTTAGCCTGAACAGTTTCAGAAAAAATCTATTTATTACCAATTTCTAAACAAACAACACTATACTGTATACTTTGCACGTGAAATTGCTTTGTTATTTCTCATATATGGCTTTTTATATTATATAAAGTAAGATGTTGTTTTCCTTTGCAATACAGGTAGGCCTGTCCCTCAAATCATTGACTCAGGCATTGTCGCGTATACGAGGGAAGTAATTTAATAAAGTTTATCGAGTTACGAGCTAATGTGAGGGTGATTTTTCACACTTACTAGTAACAAGAACCGAGGGTGGGAAATTTTAAACCCTCGCTAGTGGCACCTGACATGCCGTCTCCCCACCTTAGTTTTTCCTCACAGATTATCTTTCGCGAGATCTCATCTCAACAGTGCTTAATTTTTCACAATTGAAACTAATGGTACAAGCAGTCCCCAGGCTAAGAACATCAAAATTACATACAACTCGTAGTTATGAACGAACTGCCATGATGCCTATTATATAAAAAATTCGATCAAGTTAATCTTAAGCGTTTCGTCGACTCGAGGTACAGAACAGTACAGTATGTACTTTTATTATTACTGTATAATAATAATAGTAATATTCGGATGTATTTGGATGTGTTTCATAATGCATGTGTTTTAAATGCATAGAATGATTTTACATAGAAACATATGTATGTGTGTGTGCAACCGTATGTACCTGTCGCCTACAAATTAAACTTAAAAACAGACTTAAGAATCAGATCTGGTTCGTAACCGGGGGTCTATATAATTTTATCTCCTGCCTTACCAGCCTATTTCCAAGAAGGAATTACACTCAGAAATAAGGGGTATATCTGAAATTTTACTTCCACTGATTTGATTTAAATCATTTTTTAAAATTTTACATGTAACACCCAGTGTTATCTAAATGATAAACATGTGATGTCATGCGCTTCTATACTTCTACCAGGCTCACCTGGTAATCTTACCTTAGTGTGTCTTGTGATTGCCGGTTATCCCACCCTGAATGTCCACAGGTGTTGCACCTGTGTCTTACCCTTTGTATGTAAGGTCTTAGGTCAGACCTGGTAGGTTGAGCATTTGTTGTGTGTTTTGTGTGGTTATGGGTGTTGAAGGTCTCTCTTCCCTCAGCTGGATGAATGTGCCTTGTCTGTCATCAATAAACCCCCCTTGGGCTCTGCATATGCATCCTGGTCTACTTGCACCCATGCCTGGCCGTGATGTTACTACTTCTGTGTATGTGCTTCGCCTAAGTAAAAGTGATATTTTCCAGCACGAGGGTAGACTTCCTTTGGTAAAATGTCAATCAATCAATCAATCAATAACACATGCACATCTATAAATTTAATGAAGCAATGTCACCTGCTCAAACTGAATGCGTCTTGAATTAATAGCAATATACCTGTTTTATTTAATCACATCCCAATTATCAGTTGAGTTAAACTATTTAGATATAATTCAATGTCTTAACCAAATATATTTAGGGACCAAGCACCTAATATGCAAGGCACCTATTTTAATTGTTCAAATTTTTCACTGTCATACTTTCTGCCATGGAAGTCTATGTCAGCACATGATTTTGATTAGATTTGGCATGTTGATAGAGGGCAGCTGAAAGTATCCAAGTGTCAGATTTGGGGTCAATCCATCCGTGTCTGTAGTGTCACCAACAGGCCAAATATCGAGGTACATTGTACCCCAAGGTACAAACAACATTAACGTACCTCCAAATTCTTCAAATTTCACATCAAGTCAACAGCTAGATGGCTGAAACTTGGAAACAGGACAGTGATCCCAAACACACATCAAAACTGTTTTTGGAATGGATAAAGTAGGCTAACATTAAGCTTCTGGAATGGCCTCCCAAAGCCCCCACCTCAACCCTATTTAACATTTGTGTACTATGCTTAAAAGTCAGGAGCCAGGAAGCCAGGCAATTTAAATTAAACCTACAAATTCTGCCAAGAAGAGTGATTAAATATTCACCCAGAATTATGCAAGAAGCTTGTTGATGGCTACAAAAAGCATCTGGTCAAGGTGCAACTTGCTAAGAGACATTTAACCAAATATTAGAGGGGGTGTGTATGTGTATATATATATATATATATATATATACAGTATATATATATATATATATATATATATATATTTGAGCCTGTATGTACAATATTGAAGTTGTATGTTGTTTAATCATTCCACCTTGGAACGGTTCAAATAAATCATTAAAAGCCCAAAATTAATACGACATTCATGCCTTGGATGAGTGTATGTAAACTTCTGACCAGAACTGTATCGCGTCACCTCAAAATATTAAACTTAGTAAGTGACTATAAGTAATCCACTTTATGATCAACATATAGCTAATGATAAACAACATAACCCCCTACAGGACATTAAATGGCAGTACTTTAGGTCTGTGAGTCCTGACCCAAAAGTGGGTCACGAACCAATTGTCATTGGGTCATGGATTAAAAAAAAAAAGATATATTTTTTTGTCCGACGTTTTGTGGTCACGAAGGATGCACGTTGTCCTGGAAATTATCTTTTTGTATTACTGCCAGCACACCCCCCCCCCCTCCTCATTAGTTTTGGTGAAATAAATAGACAAACAAAAAACTCAGGGTTGTAACTAAATGAATGATGAATAATGTAGAGCCTGAGGCTAAACCAGATAAGAATTGCTGCTTTGGGCACAATCCCAATCCTCTAGCAAATGCATAATGTACCACATGAAAACGTAGCACGCGGTGTAAGAGGTGGTGCAGTGATGCATAACCTCTGACATCCCACATCATTAGCATACTTGTTGCTATGGCAACAGCCCATCTCATTCTTATATTCTAGTTGACTACATTAAATGTTATTAAACAAAACCCAATCATGCATCGCTCTTAAAAAGCATTCAATTATGCTGTTGTATTGCCTAACATTTATTACAAAAATAATAAGTAACAATCATGGGCAATAAATTAAATATTATACACTGTTTGGGTCATTAGTTTAAATATATCAGTAGCTTCATCCCCACATTGTATTCCTAAAAGCTGGGGATAATAGACCCTCAGTGACAAAAAAGTTTGAGGGGGATACATTCAAATTTACAATATTGCATGAATCAAAAGATGAAAAGTCCTCTTGCAGAGTGTACTGGGGTTTTATGATTTTCTTTTTTCCAGGCCTCGTCGCTATGATGTTTCTGTTAGTCTTTTCCTCAGTAGCTGCTCCTTCCTTGCCTTCTGGTACGCCGCCATACACTCCTTGAAGCTGAGAACTTGCGGCTGGCACTCCCGCCAGTCCTGGTGCTTCGCCATGCAGTCTTGCACGGCGTAGTGGTGTTCGCCACAGCCCGTCCGATCAACCATACGGTCCACTGGATCGTCTTCGTCCTCGGGCCGTCGGCGATTGTGCGGAGAGGTCGGGACTGCCATTCTGCGATTCTTTAAGTGAAAGTTGTGCGCGCTTGTTATAACCTTTCGGTATGCAGCAAAGTCAGATGTTCAAATAGACTGAATCAGCCTATACAGTTTACAATTATTCACAATCCACCATAGTAATGTCACCTAGGTGACTGTCATTTCAGTCAAAAGGAGAGTGAACTACTTTCATACGATCAAATTTGTTAGAGCATTCGCGAGTTTATGCTATTTTCTTAAAAAGAAGCTTAATATATCGCAATTAATCCACATCCGCTAAATCCACAAAATAAACTCCATGTAGATTTTTTTTTACAAATGTATAAGGTAGTCTGCTTACACAAATGAAATCCTGTTTTCATGAAAAGAGAAACGACTTGAACATTAACTCACTATCGGAAGGCAAATTTACCTAAAAGACCGGAAGTGTGCAGCTGCGAAGAGTGTCCGACCTCCTCCTTCTGACGCGTTTTTTTACGAACTTCTATGTAAGACTGCGTAATGTAACTGTGTAAACGGTATTGTTTATTCATCTTTACCTTGTGATCATTGTCGGGGGGGTTGTTTAAGTATTAATATCAACATAGAAATACCTGAATGCCGGCTGTTTAGTCGCTTTAATTTAAGTTCATCCAATTTAATTAAATTGAAATTTAATTTGATTTAATAGTAATCGACAAAGCTGAACTACCTGCAAAACCAAATTAGATTCTTCGAAAAAAATGGTAATCATTGCATAAATGTTCCTCGATAAAATTCATATAATCTAATCAGATCATTCTGTTGGTTTAAGGAGTTATAAATATTAAGTACTAAGGACTAAAACAATCTTACAACTTTAAAACAAAAGTCTTCTTAATTATTGATTTACACATAATGTATGACACAGCTTATCCCTCAATGGGTCCTTGTCAGAAAGTTACGTTCCAGGTCCTTGGGGTTCAAGTTGCACCCCTATCCATTGGCATATATAATTCAATGGTACCAAGCTCAAATTCAATTAACTAAAGTTAAGATACATTTATTAGTTAACTGAATGATGCTTGCACAGCTTACGCAGTGAGATAGTGCAGTTAAAGGGGTTGCGGCAGTGGGGGGGGGGGGGGGCAGCAGAGGGGACTGGTCATATAATGCACATTCCGACTGTATCCTCTTGCAGAATGTGTCAAAGAGCTTCAGCTGTGGAATACCTAGCCATGGTGTTATATCTTTTCTAACAGTTGAAATGTAAACAAAACAAAATTAGGTTAGGTTTCTTCAGCTTGCATCAACAGCAACATCTGGTGGACTAACGATAATGATAATGAAGATAGGCTATTTGGAAATGACTAGATCAAATCAAATCAAATTTATTTATAAAGCACTTTTTAAACAACAGGGGTTGATCTGAAAGTGCTGAACAAAAAGCAAATAAGGTGATTTATCTTAGTCATTGATAAATTCAGACTGGAATCCCGTCCAGGGCGTTCCCTGCCATTTGCCGCAAGCCCTCAGACTGTGTAAGCTATTCTGGATAATTCAGCAGAGCTTTTTTTGGGCTGTGTCAAATTCTCAAAGTATGTTGCAATTCAGATAACATACCCGGACTAAGTATCTAAGATAATACAGTTTGGCAAACTCATTAGTGGGTTAAAAATTGGAGTAAGAAATTGTACTACACATACACAGGTTTGTAATTATATCTTTGTGGGGACTATCCATTAATTTCTTTTTGGAAAAATCTAATCACAATATGACGGCCTTAATCCCGATCCAGCCCTAACCTTAACCAAACAAAATACGAAACTTTTGGCATTTTTACTTTTTTGATTGCATTCACAGATCTTTGGAGGGCATGAAAAATGATCCCAAAAATGTCAAAATAACAGGTTTTTATCACATTGTGGGGGACATTTGGTCCCCACAATGTAATATAAACCTAATCCATGCACGCACACACACGCACATGCACACATGCACAAACAGGTTGACTGACATTGTTCAAGCATCATCAGTCATGTTAACAGCACAATAATACTTTTATACTCAGCTAAAGATAATTAGCCTCCTCCATTCCTAGAAGACCTTTACTGTACCCAGGCAAAAACAAATCTGTGCAACACGCTCAAATATAGATTCCAGGCCTCATGGACGATTCAGTAATGTGACCAACAGAAGTAATGTGACCACTCTGTTGTCTTAAAGCTGCTGAATGTGAAGATTTGTTAATAGCTTTGAAGTTATAGAGACATCCTGTTTTCTGCTGACTATTGGGTTGCTGGTATCTGCCACTATCAGCTTTCCTGCTGAGAGAAAAATCTTAAAAATAGAATGTAAGTAGACTTTGCAAAACCAAGGATATTTTCCAGTAACAAAAATATGTTTATTAATGTATGATGCTGATGCATTATGGTGGGGGTGGTTGCCAGGTTGCATCACATAATTTGACCAAAGAAGACAGTAGTAAAAAAATAGCATTTATGACAATATATTAAGGGGTAAATAAAGAGAACTAAATAAATATTTACGATTTATAACAACATATTTAATGAGTGAGTAGCACTGTTGTTTCAAACCAAAGTGGGTGGTAAGCTGTATTAATGGCATATATAATAGAATAGTAATCCTCTTGGGCGAATTGTATTTTCATCTATCCAGTCATGCTGTACATGAGACACAGACAGACAAACTGAGTTTAAGGGTCATGCTGGATTCAAACCAGTGACCTTTTGACCATGGACACAGAGCCACACAACAGGCAGTGGTGCTCATCCATCCATCTTCTGAAACAGCTTAATCCCAACCGGGGTCACCAGAGCCTATCGCAGGAACAATGGACACAGGTGGGAACCAACCCTGGGCAGGTGCCAACACACCACAGGGCCAATTTAGACTCACCAATCAACCTACCCTGCATGCTTTTGGACTGTGGGAAGAAACCAGAAAACCCATGCAAACACAGGGAAAGCATGCAAACTCCACACAGAAAAGATCCAGGACTGAACCTTCTTGCTGTGAGGCAGCAGTGCTAACCACTGCTCAGATTTTAAGAGACGATTGGGAAACAGCTTTTTCCTATGGTAGATATGCTTTTCAGTTATGACTTTGAGATCCACTCCTTGACCTATGGTGAAAGCTGGCACACAGACGTGTTTCACTGTCTCTCTCGGTTGCAGAGTAGGACCCATCTCCTTTTTCACGAGGATCTTTAATCTTTAACCCACCAACATAGTGGAAAGTGCCAGTTTTGAAATGCATGTCCACTTTATTGTTCACTGCTAGGGGAAAGATTCATGGGTTTGTCATTGGCATCACATCGATATCTCAATGATGGAATTTAATTACATCTTATTACAGCCAAAGTATAAAGTATATAAAGGTATACTTGTCAGTGAGGCTGGAAAAAATCCCAGAATTGAACCAGGGACCTTGCTCGTCAGTCTAGCGTTCTCTCGACTGCACTATTTCAGCAGATATGATAGTGATTATACCTTCGAACATGTCATGGTCTAAAAATGGTGATGGTGCATGGGAATAAGCAAGACAGTGAAACAGATTTGGCAACACCACTGTAAATCATGCATGCATTGTTCATGCAGTGCCACATAAGTATGGTTAATTCATAAATGTATCTTTGTCAATCTCACAGTGATGACAGCCATTAATTTTGGTGTTTTCCCAAAAAAGGAAAAAAATATCAGGTTGTTTCCTGAAATGGAAAACTGAATATCTCTACCATCATAACTCTACCATCATTTATCATAATACCTCTTTCCTGTAGAAATTTCAGGTCCTTGATCAGAAGTTCAAAAAATTTGTAGCCCCCAAAGTATTTCAAGTCTGGCTTCCTACACAGGAGGACAAGCTGTATATGATCTGCAGTGGATCTGTTGTGCAGCAAAATGTCAGTCGGGGTTAAGTATACAGCTAAAACTTTTTTTTTATCCCCTGTGCCAAGTTGGATCACAACCTCAAAGGCGTCTTGGCATAGGACCAGGCCAATAGGAAAAGGTTTAGCTTTCAACAGCAGATTTTCCTCCATGCCCTCTCAATCCTCAGCATCCTGATAGAAATTTTTATTAAAGGGTTGCAAACGTTTTGAGGCTTACTTTTCTCTACAAACTCACCTTTGAACCGTGGAGCCTATACTGTATTGGTATATGTAATATAGTTGAAAGTTTTCAAAACATAATCTTTCTCTTCTAATCAGTCCATAATATTCCCCTTTTTATGGTACTTGCTGTTAACAACATCTTAGCTTGCAATTTCAGATTAAAAAGTGTAAAGTTTTGAGTTTCATCAGCAGCAAATGGCCCTACTGGTTCACAATCAGCCTCAACAGAAACATCTGAATCTGGCCGACAAAAAGATGAAAAGTCTCCATGTCCTTTGATCTGTCTGGAGCAGAATCATCTATATGCACTACAAAGTCACGCTGCCTAGAAAGCTGAAATTCTTAGGAAGGCCATTGCAATAATGGCAGCTTCTTTAGTTCTGGAACTTCGCCGGCATACTTCAAATCAAATTTTTATAGTATATCGATATTTTTCTCAAAACAAGACATAGGTTGACAATACCATTAATATCATTAATGGATTAAAATTAGGGCTTTGATAAAGATTTGTAAAAGAAACCAATCCACCTTATTCCTAGCTCCCATGATACATTGTGTGATTTATGGCCACGACTTCCACTACCACTGAACATACTGATCAGGAACGCTGGCTCTGTTGTCAGCATGAAGCTGGACACTCTGGCCACAGTGGCAGAGGAAAGGACTCTGAACAAACCAGAGGAGTATGTTCAGTGACAGGATGCTACTCCTCACATCCAGAACTGGCACTGTCATTAACAACCAGAGGAGTATGTTCAGTGACAGGATACTACTCCTTAAATCCAGAACTGACACTGTCATTAACAACCAGAGGAGTATGTTCAGTGACAGGATGCTACTCCTTAAATTCAGAACTGACACTGTCATTAGCAACCAGAGGAGTATGTTCAGTGACAGGATGCTACTCCTCAAATTCAGAACTGACACTGTCATTAACAACCAGAGGAGTATGTTCAGTGACAGGATACTACTCCTTAAATCCAGAACTGACACTGTCATTAACAACCAGAGGAGTATGTTCAGTGACAGGATGCTACTCCTCAAATCCAGAACTGACAGACTTAGGAATTCCTTTGTTCCACATGCCGTCAAACTGTTCAATTCCTCACTGGGGGGCAGGAGGGGGAGCAGGATGGGGAACAGAAGAACATTTAATTGACTGTACAATAGACCAATTAACCCGTGCAATAATTATTTATTAGTACCATCATCCCATCGCTATTTATTACTTCTTCCTATACTTTTATTTTTGTTTCATAATTGTACTACTGTATGTGTATGTATGTGTGTGTATGTGTAACTGTATGCTGTTTGTATGTTGTATGGTGCTATGCTGCTACTAGAAACTGAATTTCCTGGAGTTTCTTTCTTTCTTTCTTTCTTTCTTTCTTTCTATCTATCTATCTATCTATCTATCTATCTATCTATCTATCTATCTATCTATCTATCTATCTATCTATCTATCAAGAACCAACTTTTTGGGGAAGTGACGAATCACAAATCGGTCATGTGGGAACAGAGCCTGTCAACCCTGAAACCTGATAGTGTTGTCATACATCTGCCTTCTGTGGTTGATGGATGGAAAGATTACATGAAATAGTGGCCTTGGATAACATCCAGGAACATATTTAGTAGTGTTGTAAGCCTATGATCAGTACGCCCCCCCCCACCCTGAGTATAAAAATATTATTGTTTGAGTCATGTTCAAAAGAAATTACATTGTTTGGCAGTGTAATCAAATTGTGTTTATTTTAATAAACACTGGCAATTTTGTCATCATTGCAGAACACAAAAAAGAGATGCAATATCATAGCCTGTGTAGGGAGGCCTAAATGTCTTTCTAGACACAGGGAGTGTTGGGATCAGTACCTGCCTTGTTCCATCCTGCTTGTCATTTCCCCGTTTGGCCAGCAGGTGTCACTAGCCATCCCTTTCTCCCCCATTTCCAAAGATTACTACCCCTCACAGCCCTCATCTTTTCCCTTGCTCCCTGGGCTGCCACATGGCTGAGTGGGCTGAGCATGCAGCCTGAAACCTAGTATTCCCTACTGTCATGGGTTTGTTCTTTGAAGCCACAAGATTGAATTGTACCCTATGTGAATTATGTTTTGGGCCTGTACCTTTGTCGGTCGTTGTGCTTTTGTTACCAGTAGGTGCTGCGTGTGCTGTAGATGTTGCTTGTGTTTAGTATTAGCCCTAGTTAGTTCTTGTTTCACCTAATTGCCTTTGTTTTGACCTCTTGTCATTCCTTTTGTTTCTGGTGTTTTTGTATCCAGTCTCAAAAAAATCTCCTTCTTGTTCTAGAAACTTATGAATGAACATTGAAACAATTTTTCTAGCACCACTTATTTTAACTTAGGCCTACAAGCCTAAGTGCCTTAATGTCACTAACACAACTAAAGGGTGAAAATGTTTAACCATTATTTTAGTGATTTATAATTCAAAGGTACTGTAAACATTACTGGTAAACTGGCATTCATCAATGGTAGAAATGTAACAAATTCAAACATACATGAAACATTTCCAGAACAAAGAAAAATTAACATTACATTTAGCCACCAGTGAATGACTTTATTGGCCAAGAAAATGTATCCAGTGACAGTCCCAAAACTAACAATTGTTCAACACGTGATATAACATACAGATTTAACTATAACAGAGACATACTTCATAGAAACAAGAAATCATGGCCAGCAATATGAATCTCTTCATAAAAAGTGTCTAGTTCATGCTTCCCAAAGAGGGTTTTCTACACTTCAGGGTAGGTGGGAGATTTTGATTGAGGTCTTCCAGGTCTACCGTAAGAGGGGGGGGGGGTAGTCAGGATGATTCCAAGAGCCCTCAGTGACCGAAATCGTCATAACCCCCTCCCCATGGTGCCCGTTGCAGAATATGCAATTTATAAATCACTCTAACATTCTCTACACATAGGAAACATTAACTGAAAGTACATTGATACCTCAGTTCTCGAACTCATTAGAACTCGAATTTCTTAAAAGTCGAACCAACCAGTTCGAAAAAAAAAAAAGACCAAGAACTCGATCTGAACCTCAGGAGTCAAATCATGAACGCCGACCTAAGATAACTTGTATGCCCGGTGAAATGAATCACGCAGCACGTCTCTCAGCGGAAACATAGGGGAAGGCTTTAGTCTAAGCTTCGCTTCAGCATTAGCTGTGATAACATCGTGCATGTTTAAACTAGCTGAATACATATATTTAGACAGTAAAAATACATTTAGACAATGATAGACAGTAACAGTAATTATTATTATATAATAAAATACATTTACAAACAAAGATTTCTTATTAATTATTTTACAGTTTTTCTCCATTGGTTTGGCTCATTTCTTGAAACAGAAATGACATTCTCAAAATAACATGGACAAATCTCCAAACCACCTTGCAATTGTTCACAACAGAATGGCATTTCTCATTGATTTCATCAAATTGCAAATGCCTTAGTACATGTCTCAAGTGTCTCAGTGCATCTTTGCAAATGATTAAGTACAAGTAGCCTACAGTTAGCACAATGAGCCCACATTTGGCACATTTTCCAAATAAATAGATCTTGCT